AATCATATGTCTGATGAGGGATTTGTATCTAGAATATATTAAGAACTCTTATATCTCAACAATAAAATAAAATAAAGAATTCAAGTAATGCATGCTAAAAAAGTCAGGCCTTGAGTTGCAGACCTGTACTTTTAGTACTTGAGATGTTGAGGCAGGAGGATCACCATAAATATCAGGGCAGACTAAGTTATATAATGATCCACTTAAAAAAACAAACAAACAACAAAAACAGTAAAGAGAAAGATAGGAATAAAACAATGAAAGAAAAGGAATAGATGCTTTTCCCAAGAAGATGCATAAGTGGCCAATATTCACTTAAAAATACCCATTGTCATTAACTCCCAGAGAAATACAATTAAAATCATAATCAAGGGCTGAGGATGTAGCTCACTTGGCAGAAAGTTTGCCCAGCACTTGTGAAACCCAGGGTTTGATCCCCAGCAAGGCATAAACCAGGTATGGTGGTACCTGTGATCCCAGTGCTCAGGAGGTTGGAGGCAGGGGCGTCAGATGTCCAAGGTCATCCTTGGCTTCTTAGAGAGGTGGAGGTTGGTGTGGAACACATGGGATCTTGTCTCCAAAACAAAACAAAAAATTTAAATCGCATTTCATATCTACTGCCAAGGCTACAACAAAAGTCTGGGTTCCTCACGGTGGCATGTGTCGTTAATCCTAGCACTGAGGAGGCAGAGGCAGGTGAATCTCTATGACTTTGAGTCCAGCTTGCTCTACATGATGAGTTCCAGGCCTGTAAAGGGTTAACTGGCGGAACTGTCCCAAAAAAAATCTAAGCATGGTAAGGACATGGAGAAAGGAACCCTCATGCAGTGCTGGTAGGAATGTAGGGTAGTGTGGACGCACAGGAGAACTGCCTGGTAGTTGGTCAACAAGCTGAACATAAAGTCATCTTGGCAAATACACAAGAGAAAACATGTTTCTATACAAACATGCACATGAATGTTTATAATAGCATTATTCACAGCAACCCCAAAGTAAAAACAACCCAATGTCCAATTAATGAATGGATAGTCATACACTATCAAAAATTTTGGCAATAAAAAAGAATGGAGTGTGGTTATGATGGTCTGCATTACCTGTAGTCCCAGTTACTAAGGGGACTGAGGTAATAGCATCCTGGAACCCATCTGAAGGCCATAGTGAGATTACATCTCTTGAATTAGAAAAAAAAGTCAAAATACTGACATATTGACATATTCAGGGATGAATCTTAAAAATATTTCAAGAAACCACATATAATAGACCATGTATTGCGTGATTTTATTTACTTATTTATTTGTGCTGGGATTGACCTGGGCCTTCAACGTGCTAAACATGTGCTCTACTACTTGTAACTGGAGTTTCTCTTGTCCCATGAGGCCCCACAGCCGCTTCAGTCCCAAAATAAACACATGGACACTATATTAATTATAAAACCATTGGCTGATGGCTAGGGCTTCTTATTGGCTGGCTCTGCCTTAATTTTTAACCCATTTATATTAATCTATGCATTTCCACGAGGGTTTGGCTTACTGGAGAATTCCGGAACCTGTTACTCCTTTGGTGGTTACATGCATCGCAAGGTGCCTCTCTGCCTCTCCCCCCAGCACCCTTCTCGTCTTCTAGCCCTGCCTGTCTTCCTCCCTCTACTGGCTATTGGCCAAACAGTGTTTTATTCATCAACCAATAAGAGAAACATATATATATAGAAGGACATCCCCCATCAACTACTGAGTTGCCTTGCCAACCTTTTGTTGTTTACAGGTAGGGTCTTGCTATGTAGTCCAGGTTGGCCTCAACATGTCCCCTGCCTTTGCCCACCCAGTGCTTAGCTTATGGGTGTGCACTGTCACACTGACTTGGTCAACAGTCTGAATTCAGATGTCATCTAGGTCACCTGTTTCCCTTCCTTCTACTTACCATGCAGTGATGTCCATGGCGACAGTTCATTGCCAGTGTATTGGAGCTGTTTTGTAAGCTCTTGTGTTTACCTTGGTGTCTTTCTTCCTGGAGACAAGGTCCTCTTTAGAATGCATTCCCTTAGCCCTTTCCCTCTAGCGGCCCTCTTTAAGATCTGTGTTTTGCGTATCTTCCTTTCTATCTGTTTTGGATGGCAGGATGCAGGGGTCAGCTGGCCTCTATTAAGCACTATGAACTAAGACGTGTCTGTCTTTTTGTATTTAGTCACCTTATTTGCTCTTGCCGGTGATGCTGCTGGGTGGCTTGACTGCTTCGTTTGACAGGAAGGAACTGAGGCACAGATGTAAGGCAGTTTGAACAGGAGTGGAAAGGAAGCAGGGCATGCTGTCACAGGGCTGTCTGAGCTTATATCCTAGCTTCCTCATAGTCTCTGGCTGCCCCACAGCAATGACCACAGGGCTAGAGTCAAGTTAGGTTGGTCACCTGTTTGTATTGCATTGAGAACTGTGCCTGGCTCCGCTTAAGGGTCATATAAGTGTTTTCATATTGTAGGCCACGGGGCTCCCAAGCAGAGAACAGTGCAATTTCAAGTCTGCTTTGGGTTGTCTCTCAGTGTTGTAGTGGAAGAACAGAACCCAAACTGAATTCAGACTATAAACAAAGGACAGACTTAGATTTAGTTAATACCTGCCTATCTCCAGCCACCTCTACTCACCTCTTTTCCAGCATGGAAGAGATAATTCCACTTACTTTGTGTCGATCAAAGAGTACTGTGTTGTATAACAGTCTCCTCTGCAATTGAAACATTACATCCTTCAGGAGGTTCCTAAAGTAGGAAGGTAACCAACTCAAAATGCCTTCAGGAAGTCCCTGAAACTGACCAGATTCACTAGGCCCCTCCCCATCAGAGTAAATAATAGAAGTTGAGTGCCTCCCACACTTCAGAAGAGCCGAGTCAAGCTTCAAAGACTCTCAGATTGAGAGCAGCTGCCCTGAAGAAGCAGACCCCAGCAGAGCTACCTGGGAGAGGTTTAGACCAACTGAGGCATCTGGAGAGTACACTACAGCTGTGCAGTGTGCTCCAGATTTGTGAGTTGTCACCATGCTGGGGTGGGCCTTAGGGATGCAGCTGTCATTGAGTCATTTCTGCAACCTTAAGTAACTCCTTACCCATATCCTTGTAAGTAACCCCAGTAAAACTTACTGATTTACCAAGTTGGACTTTGGGTTATATTTTGTCTGTCATAGGATCTATATCTGGGGTGAACAGACATGTGGGTTTCGTCTCCCCAGGAAAAGTTTTGTCACACAACACAATGAGCTTACTGAGACACAGTTGAAGTGACAGAGCAAAAGTAAGGGGTGACTGGAAGGAAATGGGCAAGGGTGGGAAACCAGATAGTATAGGGAGGGATGGGACAAGAGAAGACAGGACCCACGGAGGGGAGGCCTCTGTTGCTTCCGAGTAGGGGTGCCCATCCCCGCGGTCCCAGGGAGACATCAGAATAAACTCCCCGTTTCTTCCTCTACTTCTCTCTCCTCTCGGCCTCTCCCAGTGACGGCACCAGGACATGGGTGCAGCCATTTCTGGAGCAACATGAACAGGCTATTAAAAATCAGCTAGCACTTTCTCTCCTTAACACAGTTCGTCTCCTCATATCTTAGCAGATAACACCTTCTACAAACATCTTTTGATCTGCACGTTTATTGTCTGTGCCCCATGGGAATATCTATATCGTGAATACGCAGTGGAGAAATATAGAGAGGGGGTATCTCATATAGCCCAGGCTGGCTTCAAATTCACTGTGTGCAAAGGATGACCTTGGATTTCTCATCTTCTGCCTCCATCGACCCCCTGAGTGCTGGGATTACAGGTCTGTGCTCCCGTGACCACGTGTACTCTTGGTGCTGAGGACAGAAATCAGGGTCTCATGCATGCTGGGTAAGCACTCTTCAGCTGAGCTATATCCAGCCGAAATATGCATCTCTCGAAGGCAAGATCTTTAATTCGTGCCCTAGTTAGGGTTACCACTGCTGTGGCGAAAACTGCAAACAAAGAGACTTGGCCAGGGAAGCGTTTATTTGCCTTACTCTTCCGTATCATAGTCCATCACTGAAGGAAGTCAGGACAGGAACTCAAGCAGGGCAGGATCCTCCAGGCAGGAGCTGATGCCGAGGGCCGTGCTGCTTACTGGCTTGCTCTTCATGGCTTCCTCAGCCTGTTTTCTTACAGAACCTAGGACCGCCAGCCCAGGGATGGCATCACCCACAATGGGCTGGGCCCTCCTTTGCCAATCACTAATTAAGAAAATGCCCTACTGTCATCTTTTTTTTTTTTTTTTTTTTTTTTTTTTGGTTTTTCGAGACAGGGTTTCTCTGTGGCTTTGGAGGCTGTCCTGGAACTCACTTTGTAGACCAGGCTGGCCTCGAACTCACACAGATCCGCCTGTCTCTGCCTCCCAAGTGCTGGGATTAAAGTCCTGAACCACCAACGGCCCGGCCTCTACTGTCAGATCTTACAGAGGCATTTTTTTTTCAATTGCGGTTCCCTCATTTCAGATAACTCTAGTGCGTATCAAGTTGACATAAAAAGAACCAGCACAAATTTTAAAAGGTTGTTTTTTTTGTTTGTTTGTTGTCATGTCCCCCTCCCCCCATCTGTCAGTTCCCAGTGCCTAGCTTGGTGGCTGGCAAATAATAGGAGCTGAATAAATCATTTGACTGAGTCAACAGACTAGGGTCCAGGTAGCTTGCTGGAGTCCCCTCCTCTTTTAACATAAAGATCTGGTGACTGCCTTCTGAATACTTAAGGGTGCAGGGCTAGGAGCTGAAGCTCTTGGCCTCAGGTCCGTGGCTGGGATCAACAGCAGGTGCTGGCGAGTCCATCAGCCCCGACGCAGTAGTGCTGTTTCCCGGCTCCGTTTCACCCAGGTGCAGCCCGACCCCCAGCCCCCCATAGGATTTGGGCCTGTGGCGGGACATGCCGGGTGGCCTGTCTCTCACGGTCCTTGCGTGAGCCGACCGGGACGCCCGGCGCTCCTGGCAGGTTATTTTTAGCTGGGGGAGGGGACAGAGCGGCAGGCCGGGCGACACAGGCTGAGTTGGCCACAGCGTCCTCCGGCAGTGCGCGCCGCTGTCCTCGGGGACCTGCGCGGGGTGGGGGCGGGGAAGGCGGCGGGAGAGCGCGGCGGGCGGGAAGGGGCGGAGAGCGCGCTCCTGCGGAGGCGGCTGTGCTCATCCCGGCGGCCAAGCGCTCCAGTGCTCGCCGGGCTTCGCAGATGGCTTGCCCCGCTCTCGGTCTGGAAGCCCTTCAGCCCCTGCAGCCCGAACCACCTCCGGAGCCTGCCTTTACTGAGGCACAAAAGTGGATCGAGGTAGGTGCTGGCGGCGACGGGCTGCCTTGCAGGGGCGCCTCCAGCTGCTGCCCGGCGCGCTGCGATCGCGGGTCCAGTCTCTCCTCCCACCCCCCCCCCCCCCCCTTCCAGGCCAGCTTCCCCAGGTCACCCACCGTGGCCTCCAGCGAACTGCAATTCCCCTGGCGTTGGAGCCCCGGGGTGTGGGCGTGAACGGGGGTGGGGGGGGGGACGACACTGCGGTTTACCAGTGCGCCCAGGGGCAAGAGGCGGTCCCCAGCGCCTTCATCCCTGCTGCTCGCGGAGCTTGCAATCTCGGCTCGGGTCGCAAGCGCTGCCTTGGGAAGCGCTGCAAACGCGCCAGGGGCTCGAGCTTCCAGAGTCCTTGAGGGAGCCGCATTTCAGGGTGTCCCGCTCTCTGATCCACATTCCACCTCTTGACCTCCCTCTTCGCCCTTCCGGAGCGGAGTTGGCAGTGTCTTCACAGAGGTTCATACCCATCCGAGAGCCTTTTGGCTGTGTTCTGGCACCGGTTCAGGTGCGAGGCTGGTGCAGAGCATAGCATGGGGGAACCTGCAAGACCTAGTTGCGAGTGCACTATCCGCAGAAACGCTACCTGGTCATTGGCTGGTCCAGAGACCGCAGGGTGGGCTCCAGCAGGCCGTATACCCGGCCAGGTTGGCACATTTCACTTCTTAAATGGCTCGGTGGAAGGCCAAGGAAATCACTGGAGCTCTCGGCTCAGTCCGGGAAGCGCTCGCTGGGCGATCCTGATTCATGATGTCTATCTGCAGGTGCAGCTTAGTAGCCCTGCGATTCCGAAACGACCGGTCTTTGGGCTCAGAACTCGCGTGGAGGGCGAGAGTTGGGGAGGTGATCCACTCGTGGATCCCCTATTTCAACGGGATTATGCTTTGTGGGAGGTCAGTTGGGCCAAATGACACACAACCACCCCCCCTGGCCTGACAGTTCAAAGGAGGATGACCAAGCAAGCATGAGTTTCACAGTACTATTCAGGTAGTCACTTAGCGACCCCGTCCCCACCCTCGGGACAGCCCAGGCTTCCATTGTTGTTCGGGTGATAGAACTATGGGGCTGCAGATTTAAACCTGCTGAGTTGCCTACAGAGGCGGTTTCTGGAAGGCTCCAGCCACAGGCCGCCTGACACCTTTCAGGGTCAACCTTCTTCATGTGTACCAAAGCGCCTCAGGGTTTGGAAAGCGCTATTTTAAAACGGAGTTAAGGAAACAGAGAACGTCAGAGGCTATTGCTAAAAGCTGGGGCTGGCGTGCCCCCTGAATCCAGGTAACTCACTACCAGATGAGAAGGAGACATTGGCCTCTTATTTTTGATGTGTGGCTGGAAGGCTTGGAGTGTGACAGGTGTTCTCCCTGAGCTTGGACCTCACAGGCTCTACGGGAGACGTTTGTAGACACTGGCGGTAGTGGAGAGTTGTAGGTAGGACTCTTATCTTTCAGGTTCTTGAACTTGAACATTCTTTGGAGAAAAACTGATTGTATTTTGGAGGTAAGGGAGCATACAGGAGGAAGAATAGCCTCTCTGTTCTCATAGGCCAGTGATTTATTCCCAGCTTATTTAATTGATAGTGACATTGACATGCTCTGCTTTAAAAAGTGAATTGTGGCATAAATTCCATACAGGATGGGTGCACATCTCAATTGCAAGTCTCCGTGAATTCTGGAGTCTGCACATCCCCTATAGATCAAGATATATGAAGCTTCTTTTTCTTTTCTGGTGATATTTCAGGCTAGACATTACACAGTGTGGAACATCGCTTTTTCATATCAGCTTAAAGGAAGGAAGCAGAGCCAGGTTAAGCCCTAAACACAGTTTAGTATTATTCTTGTTACTTTCCTCTTTAAACCAAAGAAAGTGAAAACCCTAATGGGGTGTGCCTGTGTGGCTTTAGGACCAGGCTGCCAGGCACGCTGCGTGTGCATAATTGAAGTGGCCTATCTCCTTTCCACACTGGAGTTCTATTTCATCGAAAGGAGAGTTTCCCCTTCCAAGCCTAGGTGGTATAAAAAGGTATTTGCAGGAGGGGCGGGGGAGATACTTGCCCCCCCCCCACTTTCTCTCACATTCCTCTTGAAATGTAAATGCCACGTTTGCAAACTGGGAGCCAGGGGCCATAACAGATGGCTTTGCACACAGTTGCCCAGTGAACAAAGATTCCTGGGCTAATATAGCAATAACGAGTTTCTTAGTGTGAGCCATTTCCCGTGGGGACTCTTATCGGGAGACAATCGCATATCCCGTTAGGGGCCTATTGTCTCCGGCAACATCCTCATTGGGAGGGCTTTGTTTTTCTGTTTTGTTCCACTGGTGATTAAATTTCCCACAGGCTTTTTCTTCTTCATTTTTCTTTTTCAGCAGTCAGGAATTTTACCCTTTCAGAAAATGTTCCCTTGGGTGCAGCAGGTTAATAAACAAACTTTGCTACTACTCGGCTTCCTTAGTTCTGGGCTTCCTTGAGTTGGGCTGTTCAGAGAATTTACATTCTTAGCAAGGCTCTCTGAGCATGCTCCTGGACCCAGGTTCTTAGCAGGAATTTCTGGGCCTGCAGCCTTGGCTATTTGAAGACCTTGTTACTGGGCAGGAAATGTGTCCCAGAAGTCAGCCTCCCCACCCCACCCCACCCCACTCCCCACCCCCACCCCCGAGTGCTTCTGACTTAGATGCTAAAGGTGAACTCAGTAATAAAGCTGGACTTGGTAGGGACTGGGTAGGGACAGCTGGGTCACATTTCCAGTGACTTTTCATGGTGTGGGAGCAGAGTGCCTTACTGTGGGTTTGGGGAGGGTCCTGGGGAAACAGCAATGTTCAAGGATTAATTCCCCATGAGCAAGCAGAGGCAAGGCTAACTTCCTATCATATTGCCTTTCTAGCTCCTTTCCCAAGCACTGGGCAGTGGGCTGCACAAAGAGCCAAGAGGCCTAACTTCCTACTGGAAATCCTTGGGCGGACTCCCAGTCTCTCACTTCTAGCTGATCGACCTTGGACAAACTGCTTTTCCTGTCCTTATGTTTCCAGATATTTTCTTTGAAAGACACCTCGAATTAACAACAAAACAACAAAGGGGTATTGTTGAAACATCTGTAAAACAGGACGTTAAATAATGTCTCACCTCATAGGAGTGCTGGAGGGTTTAATAAGTGCGCATGTTTAAAAATGCTTAGAATAGGAACTTGGGATAAGGTACAGTGGTTAAAGCGTTTGCCAGGTGAATGTGAGGACTGGAATTTAGATCCTCAGAGTCCACCATAGCCCCACCCCCTCCATAGTACAGCACTGAGATCCCCATGTAAGCTGGCTTGTTAGACAAGCCATAGTGGTGGGCTATTGGTTTGGCTTTAGACGCTGCCTCAAAGAATAAGATGGGGGTGATCCACATGCACACATGCAGTAGTACCTACACATACATGGACAATGCAGTAGTACCTACACACACATGGACAATGCAGTAGTACCTACACACACATGGACAATGCACTAGTACCTGCACACACATGCACATTCCACATGTGTTTATTAAGAAAGGAAGTACGCCGGGCAGTGGTGGCGCACACCTTTAATCCCAGCACTCGGGAGGCAGAGGCAGGCGGATTTCTGTGAGTTCGAGGCCAGGCTGGACCAACAGCCTCCAAAACAATACAGAGAAACTCTGTCTTGTAAAAACCAAAAAAAAAAAAAAAAAAAAAAAGAAAGAAAAAAAAAGAAAGGAAGGAAGTACTTAGAATAGTACCTGGTACTGTTGTTCGAGTGATGGCATCAAAATTACCATTTATATTACTATTGCTGTTATTCTTCTATTATCATCATTACCACCACTGTTGGTGCTGTTGCTAATAGCAACTGAATTTGATTTTGTTCTGTTGTGGTTTCGGTCTTTTATTATCTTACTTTATTTATGATTTATTTGTGTTTCAGTACCAGGAATTGGGCAAGTGCTCTATCATTGACCTGACATCCCTCATCTTATATTGATGCTCTGAGACGGAGGCTCAGTAACCCAGGCTGACCTGGAATCTGGGTCCTTCTGGGATTACAGGCATGTAACACCAATGGCTGGTTTGAACGAAATTCTTCAGAACTATACGTTTCTAGTATTCAAAGTATACTTCAGTTGCCTACTGATTTCACTTCATTATCTCACTATATTTTACTACTTACTTACGCTGGGGATCAAATCCAAGTCTAGGCAGGAGCTGACATTGTCTCAGTCTAGTAATTCTGTATACTTGGGCTAGAGATGGAGTAGATGCTACATGTCACTGTTGTTTGATTTTAGGGTCCAAGCAGAGCCTCTGATAGCTCACTCATAAGGTGACCTCACAGTCCACCAAGGCTTTGAAAATTACCCCTCAATATTAGGTTGGACTTCAATCTTTAACATGTAGTTTTGCTACCAAAGTCCGAGAAGAATCCTCAGTGCCTCTCACCTTGCAGACAGTCCAAGATACCCAGCTGGAGGCTGGCGTGGTAGTGACTCATTTTGCTGCCTCCTTTCTCCTGAGCTAATGTTGACATTTGTTTGCAGGTAGGAGATTCCAATATGCCCAGTCCTCCTCTTCCATTTGTCTCCCCACCCACAACAATATTAATCTGCTCTAATCTGTTTTTTTTTCTCTTAAGTGCCAGACACTTTCTGGAGGACCAGATGTCCCTTAAGCTGGGTTCCACTTGATTTGGATTTGGAACAGGTTGTCAAGACGTTAAGAGTGGGAGGCTGAAGATTTCAACCCAACTCAATCATCTTAATTTGAAAAGTTTCTGGATTGCTTTCACTTGAGTCATAGCATGCCCATGGGGTTTTGGTGATGAGTACAGTCTTACTAGTTACCTCAGGCATGTTTCACATGAGTGGGAACTTCATTTCCCTGTGTCCACAGGGAATTGCTTTTCTTTTAATCCCACCTTATTCAGATCTGATTCTGAAGATTAAATGCACTGTAGGTGTCTTGGTGCTTTGATACTGGAAGGTGTTGTATGGCTTGGCA